TTGTTATTTTATTTCATTTGTGTTTTTTTCCCCCATTGATTTTCAGAAATGGAGACAGAGAGAAACATTGATGTGAGAGAGACACATCGATTGGTTGCCTCCCACACTCACCCCTACCAGGGCCAGGGATCGAGCCCGAAACCTAGGTACGTGCCCTTGACCGGAATTGAACCTGGGACCCTTCGGTTTGCGGGCCTATGCTCTATCCACTGAGCCACACCAGCAGAGGCGATGACAGTAATGTTATCAGACTCTGTATGTCTTATGTTGCTTTGATTATAACTGAGTATTTTCTAAATGAGACTGAAAAGCTTCAAGGAAGATTGTACCTATTCCTTTACCATGGCAGTTGGGGAATACTGGGGATCTGTACGTGTGAGAGAAGATATTGAATCCCTTTCAGTCTCAGTCTATGCTGCTGTAGAAATGAGGAGGCCAAGCCTGCATTTCGCCCTGAGAATTTTCTACCCACTGTGCACAGTTGCATCGTTGAGAGGTCTGAATTCCTCGCCCTTCTGGTGTTGCTCAGTGGTTAGCGTCAACCAATGAACCTGGAGGTGTCAGTTCGATTCCCGGTCCCAGGTTGCAGGCTCGGTCCCCAGTGTGTGGCGGGCAGGAGGTGTCCGATCTGTGATTCTCTTTCATCTTTGCTGTTTCTGTCTCTCTCTCCCTCTCCCTTCCTCTCTAAAATCAATAAAATATATATATGTATTTTAAAAAGAGGTATGAATTCCTCTACTTCTCATCGCTAATATGTGTGGCCTAGACTGGTTGCTCCAAAGGTTTCCTTAAACCAGCGGTCGCCAACCTTTCGGACCTCACGGACCATCATTGGTCCGAGGACCACCGGTTGGCGACCGCTGGCCTAGAGCCTGTAATATCATATTTATGTAGTTTGGGGAGGATTTCCTGTAATTCCAGATGGTAGTTGGAAAGATAGGTGTAGAAGGATTTTTTAAAACAAGAAATCCTTGCTCGGCCGGCGTGGCTCAGTGGTTGAGCATCCACCTATGAACCAAGAAGTCATGGTTTGATTCCCGGTCAGGACACATGCCCGGGTTGCGGGCTCGATCCCCAGTGTGGGGCCTGCAGGAGGCAGCCAATAGATGATTTTCTCTCATCATTGATATTTCTATCTCTCTCTCTCCCTTCCTCTCTGAAATCAATAAAAATATATTTTTTAAAAAAGAATTTCGTTTGCCCCATGGGATTTTCACACTTTTCAAATGATGCCACTGTATTTTATTCAAACTGTATAGAGCTGTCAGTGTATTCGTTACATGAATCTCCTGCAGCCCCTGAGCAGATGACAATTGCTAGAGGGGGGGTGGGGAGGGGGTGGGGGGCTGCAGGCGAGGGGGGACCCATTCGAACCCACATCTTCAGAAGCAAATTTCTCTCGCGTCTCCTGTTCCGGCCCCTGCGCGGACTGTCCCCTCGCTCTGCTTCCGCTGGCACGTTCCCTCACGCTGTCGGGCGCCGAGACGGGATGTCTCATCTGTATATAAAAATTAAAAATTCAAACAAAAATCTGGCCCACATGAAGAACAGGCCCTCTGGGCATATGGTTCATTATGCATATTCGTTTAATTACTAAGACACTTGGGATGGCTTCCCTGCCCTCACTTTCAACTCGCAAAGTCAGATCTCTTTGCACAGAAAATGGAGCGCAGCACTGTGTTCTGCAGGAGGGGTGGAAAAAAAAGAGAGAGCTTTTGAAGAAATTTTTGGAATTCACCAAAAGGAGACATGATTCTCAGGATGAGACGGATAGCAGCAGGGATTTCTCTCTCTTTTCCTCTCTCTTTTTGTCTCCTTCTCCCCCCCCCTCACCACCCCCCCTTATTTCTACCACTGCCCCCAAAGGCTAGTCTTATGGTGGTTAGTTTATATAAAAGTGGGCAGGGCAGGAATGCAAGAGTGTAGGTTTCGTGTATGTTTCTCCGCAGCCACTCAAGTCTCAGGGCGAAGCTACTTTCTTTGGCTGGAAAGGGACCCGCGATGGAAGTGTGACTTTAATTGATTTTTCAGGGCTAACAGGTGTGATAGCTCAGACTTGCCCCAGCCTCGTTGCCGCTCCTGATTTGGGGCGCCGCGTAGGAGAGCTTTATTAAAATAAACCGTTTCCTGGCCTCGCCGTTACCTGAACATCTGCCTCCTGGTTTTTCAAGGGCCTTTGCCAATATTTCCCCTCCGTGCCTACATGGATCGGATCCTAGAAAAAAAAAAAGTGGAGGGAGCCTCTCTTCTCTGCTTGTCATCAGATTCTTCATTTTGGGGGTTTACAATTAGACAGAAACGTTGTTGTTTCGGGAATTTCTTTCTGGTGGTGGTTGTTTTCACGTGGATTTCGGTTGCACATTTATTTTCATGGTGCAACAGATTTTTTGTTTTTGAACAGAACGGGCCAAAACTTGAACGGGTCGTTGCTGGGTTTGCATTTGAACTTTTATTCTGGTGATTCATTGATGGTTCAGGTGAGGGAGTGTTTGTGTGTGTGTGTGTGTGTGTGTGTGTGTGTGTGTGTATATATATATATATTTATTATTGATTTCAGAGAGGGAGGGAGAGGGAGCGAGAGAAACATCAATGATGAGAGAGAATCGTTGATTGATCAGCTCCCTCCTGCACACCTCCTACTGGGGATCGAGCCTGCAACCTGGGCATGTGCCCTTGACCGGAATCGAACCTGGGACCCTTCATCTGCAAGCCGACGCTCTATCCACTAAGCCAAACCAGCTAGGGCGAGAGAACACTTTTCTAGAATGTTCTGTGCACTTAGCAGACAATTAGAGCCCCATTGGACTTGTACCACGGAGGGTGCCTCCGGTGCCAACAATTCTGCTTCGGAAATGAGTGAGACACTTACTGGTACATTTAATGGAATTTTTTTTTTGTCTTGACCTCTTCAGGATACCCAGCTTTATGGGGAATAAATGTGTGAGGATTCTTTTCTCCCTTCCTCTAATCAGAGCAGAGAATTTGCTGATGGCTCTGGAAGATGTATTTACCCAAATCGGACTTTCAACTGCTCAATTACCAGCTTCTGCAAAAAACAAACAAACAAAAAAACACATAATGAGAAATTCATTGTCTGATCCTTGACCAGAAATTATGATCATTTTAGGAGGGAAAGAGCCAATAGTTGCAACATATTAGATGCCTTCTTTCTTCATTTCGTTTAGAGCTGTTCTACTTTTTCAACTAGCAGCTCTGCCTTGATGAGGGGTGTGGGTTTTTATTGGGTCATAGATGAGCGGTTGACTTTTCCCATTTACATAAAGTCATCAAGAAATGTAGAGGGTGGCCAGTTAGCACGATGCAAACCAGGGGGATTTTAAAATTTTTTTTGTATTCATTTGGATTTTTATTAGAGAGAGAGGAAGGCAGAGAGAGAGAGAGAGAAACATTGATGAGAGAGAATCATTGATTGGCTGCCTCCTGCGCCCCCCTACTGGGGATCGAGCCCACAACTGGTGCATGTGGCCTTACTGGGAATGGAACCGGTGACCTCATGGTGCATGGGAAGATACCCAACCCACTGCACCACACTGGCCGGGCAAACCATGGGATTTTAATAAACATTTCATATTCAAACGAGAATACAGATTATGTACTTAGGCAAGAAGCTTGTGTATAAATACAGATTAGAAGCGTTTTTTCCTGTTGTTTTTTCTTGAATCCTATCGTACATGCAAAAGGAGAAAGTAAAACCAGCAGAAACTCCATCCTTAAAGAATGCGGCCTGAAAGTCTCTAATTTGTTCTAAGTTGATAAGTTACATGAGTGACTTTTTCCCAGCACTTACAAGCTGGCAGCTGATAACCACAAGTTACCGTATTTCATCTTGTGGGACCACCTGTGAGTTTGAAAGGAAAGTAGGGCGTTAAGTCTGGAAATAATATGCCCGAGATGTCACTCCTGCCTTGTGACATAACTACCATGTGTTCTTTTCTTCTTTGTCCCACTAATCCGCGTGTTACTTGGAGGCAGGGCCGTGTCTTCGTGGCGTTCTTGTTTCCGGTGACCATGGCGGCATAGGCACTCGGGTTCAAACCCAAGCTCTCTCTAGAACTTTCTGTGGGAGGGTCCCAAGTCAGAGGCGGATAGAAATTGGGCAGGTGAATTGCGTAGCTTGTCTGATGTAGGCATTCCTGACCCATCATTTTGTTGGGGCCATCCAGCCTCAAAATTGGAAGATTTTAACATTTTTAAATTTATATATATATATTTGTTGTTGTTGTTGTTGTTGTTAATCCTCACCCAAAGATATTTTTCCATTGATTTTTGGAGAGTGGCAGGGAGGAGGAGGAGGAGAGAAAGAGAGAGAGAGAAACATCAATGTGAGAGAGACACACAGATTAGTTGCCTCCTGCACCTGCCCCAACCAGGGCCGGGGATCGAACCTGCAACCAAGGTACGTGCCCTTGACCGGAATCGAACCTGGGACCCTTCAGTCCGCAGGCCAGTGCTCTATCCACTGAGCCACACCAGCGAGGGTGACCATTTTAAGATTCTTAAAGAGACTTTGAAAATTGTAATGTTTTACCTGAAATACTTGGATTTTAAAATATTGGAAGCCAATTTAAAAAGTAATCCCCTCTCCAGTTAAAATAAGCCTTATGGTTGGCAAAATTTGGCGTGTGGCCGGCCTCTTGGAGACCGTGGGTGTTGCATACGACTGTCCCTCCGTTCTGGTACAATACATCTCGGAGCAGACAGCTGAATAGGTCAGATAGGGGATGGGGTTTCCAGGTACGGGCCATATCGGTCTGCTCCAGAGTGTACCTGGCCAATCGTTTCTTCCTCATTCTACCAGTTCTGCAACTGCATTAATCAGTGTGTGTGTGTGTGTGTGTGTGTGTACCTGTTTGTAACCGTTTCTAAAAGCTGCTGTAGTGAGAGTCCTGGATTTAATTTCCCGAAGTCATTGAGGAGGCATGGAAGATGGTTCCCATTCCGTGTTCTCAAGCCGTGATTTGGTCTTGTCTTCCCGTCAGGTGTTCCTGGTCACAGTGTGGAATTTTGAACTGTACATGATCCCCCTGGCCTTGCTGCTACTCTTTGCCTATAATTTCATCGAACCCACGAAGGGGAAGGCGGGCAGCACCCACGACTCCCAGGTAAGCCCAGATGCCAATAACTCTGATGTTTGACTCGAGACAAAGGTGTTAACAATGATAAGCCAGCACCGCCAGCACCACCACTAAATCATGGCCCAAGTCCATTTGGTTTGATCTGGAAGGATCCACCTTGTACATATGTCCATGTTATAGTAGAGATCTTTTCTATAGAAAAAAAATATATATATATTAATTTTTTAATTGATTTCCGAGAGGAAGGGAGAGGGAAAGAGAGATGGAAACATCAGTGATGAGAGAGAACCATTGATCGGCTGCCTCCTGCACACCCCACACTGGGGATCGATCCCACAATCCAGGCATGTGCCTTGACCAGGAATTGAATCATGACCTCCTAGTTCATAGGTTAATGCTCAACCACTGAGCCACCCTGGCTGGGCTAGAAATATATGTTTTTACTGATTTGAGAGAGAGAGGTAGGAAGAGGGAAAAAGAGAGAGAGAAACATCGATGATAGAGAAACATTGATCAGCTGCCTCCTGCATGCCCCATACCTGGGGATCAAGCCTGCAACCCGGGCATGTGCCCTGGACTTGGAATCGAACCGGCGACCTCTCGGTGCATGAGACGATGCTCAACCCACTGAGCCACACTGGCCAGGGCTGTAGTAGAGATCTTGTATCAGGTGTCATCTGGGGTCTTCTCTGTGTTTCTGAGTCTTGGGCTATTTCCTCAGAGTCCGGAGAGCCCTGTGGTGCTGGTCATCTGTCCTGTGCCAGCAGCACGTGTCCGCGGGCACCTCTGTGCTCCGTGAGGTTAAGGTGAAGAACATTGTCAGCCACGAGAGAAAAGTCCCTCCAGGGGACTCAGAGCATCTGGAGGCTGCCTCGGCCCCTCCACCCAGGCTCCCCATTCAGTGCTCACCTCCGGCCTGAAGGCTCAGGGGGTTCTCGGAGGCTTGCCGACTCCCAGGGAAAGCCCAGCCTGTGTGGGCATGCGTCCCTCTGTTCCTGTGCCCACGTTTCTGCTGTGATTCTCAGACTTGCCAGCAAGGCTTCCCCTCAGACACCGGCCTCCACACCCTGTCCTTCTTCCCCAGCTCTTCCCCCCTCGTTCTCTCCTTGCACACCAGGGATCTCTCCTCCCCCCGTCCACTCCCCCCCGTGAGCAGGAACCTGTATGTATTGGCTTCTTTTATGGTATAATCCTGGCATTCCAGGTTCAAAAACCCAGCAGTTTTTTAAACAAAATTCTAAGGCTTTGAGACTTGGTAACAGATCAGCGTCCCATTGGGTTGTTCTAGAGCAGCCGTGGGCAAACTACGGCCCGCTGGCCAGATCCGGCCCCATTTGAAATGAATAAAACTAAAAAAAAAAAAAAAGACCGTACCTGTTATGTAACGATGTTACTTTGAATTTATATCAGTCACACACACACTCCATTCATGCTTTTGTCCCGGCCCCCGGTCCAGTTTAAGAGCCCATTGTGCCCCTCGAGTCGAAAAGTTCGCCCCACCCCTGGTCTAGACTCAATAGGGGACTGTCTTTACATAGTTTTCCTTAGCATGTTCTCATGATTTAAAAAATCATCTCTGGCCCGGCTCGTGTGGCTCAGTGGTTGAGCGCAGACTCCTGAACCAGAAGGTCACAGTTCGATTCCCAGATAGAGGGCACGTTCATGCCCGGGTTGCAGGCTCCATCCCTCATAGGGGGCGTGCAGGAGGCAGCCAATCAATGATTCCCTCTCATCATTGATGTTTCTCTTTCTCTCCCCCTCCCTTCCTCTCTGCAATCAGTTAAAAAATAAAATAATAAATGAATAAATACTGCAGCGGTATGATTGAAATTTACCTGTTTAAGACAAGGTTTTAAAACGAATCTGAACCAACCTGTTCGCATCAGAGCCGGTGCTGGGAACCCCCAAACTAAAGCGGGGCGCCCTATAGTCCAGATCAAGGCCTTGTCTTCCCTCCCTCACCTGCTCCCCCACCCAAACCGGAAGCCCAAGGAGAACAGTGAAACCATAAAGAAACCTCTAACTTACTTTCGAGGCGGATGATATTTAGACTCACGCACTTCTACTGTCTAACGTTCCCGTAACGGCCCCCACGGAGCAGAGAAATCGCTGTCACAGTGAACCCCGCACAGACGGAGAGCGGTCCTCTCAGCCTTAACGTAGCGGCCGGTTCATCTGTCAGGAGAACAAAACTGTTTAGAGAAGGCTCAGCTCAGCAGTGCCGCCTGGAAGCTGGGTGCCTTCCAAGGCCGCTCGCCTCATGGCTGTATTTATCGCGAGGTTTTATGGAGATGAGGCGTGTTGTGTGCACTGTTGCCACGGCGCCCCTGAACTCTCAGAGCGTTCTCGTTAAGCGTGTTTTCGCATGTTGGATTTGAAAAAGACGACCGCTTAAATTCTGTAGACATTTTTTCTTTTTTTAAAAAATATATTTTATTGATTTTTTACAGAGAGGAAGGGAGAGAGAGAGTAAGAAACATCGATGAGAGAGAAACATCGATCAGCTGCCTCCTGCACATCTCCCACTGGGGATGTGCCCGCAACCCAGGTACATGCCCTTGACCGGAATCGAACCCGGGACCCTTCAGTCCGCAGGCCGACGCTCTATCCACTGAGCCAAACCGGTTTCGGCTTTCTTTTTTTCTTAATCCTCACCCTGGCAATATTTTTCCATTGATTTTTAGAGAGAGTGGAAGAGAGAGGGAGAGTCAGAGAGAAATATCGATGTGAGAGAGACACATTGATTGGTTGCCTCCTGCACACGCCCTGACCAGGGCCTGGGCCAGGGAGGAGCCAGCAACTGAGGTACATGCCTTTGACCGGAATCAAACCGGGACCCTTTGGTCCGCTGGCTGATGCTCTATCCACTGAGCAAAACCAGCTAGGGCTGTAGCCTTTTTTTTTCTTTTTTTCTTTTTTATTTCAGAGAGGAAGGAGAGGGAGAGAGAGATAGAAACATCAATGATGAGAGAGAATCACTGACCGGCTGCCTCCTGCACGCCCCCTACTGGGGATTGAGCCAGCAACCCGGGCATGTGCCCTTGATTAGAATCGAACCCGGGACCCTTCAGTCCACAGGCTGATGCTCTATCCACTGAGCCACACCAGCTAGGGCTGTAGACATTTTTCTTTTATGTGAATGAGTTTAGTTTGCCTTTGGTCATTTGAGCTGATATTTTATTAACTGATTGTGGGCCTTCCTTTCAGGAGAGCACGGAAGCCGATGACGAGGAGGATGAAGATGACAAGGTGAGTGTGTCCACGGAACCTCACGACAGGGAAGGGACATTCTTATTTATTTTATTTTATTTTTTTTTTGGTTAATCTTCACCTGAGGATATTTTTCCATTGATTTTTAGAGAGAGAGGAAAGGACAGGGAGAGACAGAGAGAAACATTGACGTGAAGAGACACAGCGATTGGTTGCCTCCTGCACGCACCCCATCAGGGCCGGGGAACCTGAAACCGAGGTACGTGCCCTTGACCGGAACCAAACCCAGGACCCTTCAGTCCGAGGGCCGATACTCTACCCATTGAGCCACACCAGCCAGGGCGGGACATTCATGTTTTCAGCAGATAGCTTCCTTCCAGGTTGTGTCAGATGCTTTTATGTTTTTGTACTATGGAGTAGCCAGCAGATTAATATTCTTATTTACAAAGGATATCCCTTTCTAAGATATACCTATTTGTTTCTTTTCATTCATTTGTAAAAAGGAGGATGAAAAGGGGCAAAATGTAAGAAATAATTGAAATAGTAGAAAAAGCATAGCTGTAGGCCCAGCCGGCGTGGCTCAGTGGTTGAGCATCAACCTACGAACCAGGAGGTCACGGTTCGATTCCCGGTCAGGGCACATGCCCGGGTTGTGGGCTCCATCCCCAGTAGGGCATGTGCAGGAGGCAGCTGATGCATGATTCTCTCTCATCATCGATGTTTCTATCTCTCTCTTCCTCTCTGAAATCAATCCAAATATATTACAAAGATAAACTAGCAGAGTGGGAGGGGGGCTGTCCTTGGCTGCGGGCGAAGGCGCGCTTCTCCGTGGCGTCTGGAAGGTCGCCGGAGGGTCGCCGGGGAAGTCACAAGTAAATCAAGTGACATTGCTCCTCCTTCAGGCTCCGGCCCGCGCGCTGCGGGGCGGCCACCCACTTCAGAGCTGTCACTTCCCCAGCTGTTGCTGGCAGCGCATGCAGCTCTCCGTCTGGGTACATCTGTCCTTTCCCTTCTCCTGGGAGAAGCTCTCAAAGCCGGTGCTTCTGTTGTCATTACGCTTTCAGACAAACCTTCTGGAATAAAATGAAAAAAAAAAAAGGGAAATGCCAAATGCAATGCTACTAGCTTAATGGACTTCAGTCCCCAGAACCTGTGGGTATGGGGGGCGGGGGAGGTGCTGGGAGAGACGCATGGTATAGCGTTTCGGATGCTTCAGGGGGAGGGGGAGACCTTAACAGTTAGAATCCAATATAAAATGCCCAGGAAATAGCAATGAATATAAAAACATGGGCTCCGTGACACAGAGGGCCTTCAGATGAAGCAAGAGAGGCAGATGGTTTTGCCCGTTTGTAGCACATTGAGGGGATTCCAGAGTAAACCTTAGTTGTGGTGTTAAAATGATCATTCGTAGCAACATAATGAAATCAAGTAGCAAAATATGTTTTTAAAGTAAATTGCCCTTTTTCAGAAACAAAGGTCACACAGATGCAACTTTCTTCTTTTTTAAAAAAAATATGTTTTATTGATTTTTTACAGAGAGGAAGAGAGAGGGATAGAGAGTTAGAAACATCGATGAGAGAGAAACATCGATCAGCTGCCTCTTGCACACCCCCCACTGGGGATGTGCCCGCAACCAAGGTACATGCCCTTGGCCGGAATCGAACCTGGGACCTTTCAGTCCACAGGCTGACGCTCTATCCACTGAGCCAAACCGGTCAAGGCACAACTGTCTTCTTGATGAATTGATGTTGAGTGGCTTCCGGGTGACGTAGCTCCTTGAACATTAGAAGTAGAGTTAGCCAAGCCAAAGTGCATGATGGGAAGGCTTCTCAAAGGAAACAGGTCTTTTTTTTTTTTTCATTAACATGTTTTTATTGATTTTTGGAGAGAGAGGAAGGGAGCGGGATAGAGAGATGGAAACATCCACGAAAGAGAAACATTATCAATGAGCTGCCTCCTGCATGGCACTGAGCCCACAGCCGGGCATCTGTCCTGACCTGGAATCGAACTGTGACCACCTGGTTCCTGGGTTGATGCTCAACCACTGAGCCACACCGGCCAGGCAGAAACACAGTTTTAAATGAAAATTTCCCTTTTAATGAAATTATTTTAAACCTGTACTGGGAACTAGCCTACATTTTTATTAACCAAGGCTTGAAAGTGAGGAAGATTTCTTTCCCGTTGGCCAACCCTTTTTAAATGAGCCACCCAGGGACGGGAAGGCAATGAGTGAGAAGTCGGTGGTCAGTAAACTAGAGGCAACAACCTCAGCCCTTGGACCACAGGCCATGGGTTGTCCAGGTCGAACCTTACTCTCCAGGGCTACCTCAGGGTCTGGAGGCAGAGCCATCGGGGCTGCGCTTCTAGCCTTTCCAGGCGAGGATGACTGAGCCGGAACCACAGCATCTACAGCAGCGGTTCTCAACCTGTGGGTCGCGACCCCTTTGGGGGTCGAACGACCCTTTCACAGGGGTCGCCTAAGACCATCGGAAAACACATAGATAATTACCTATTGTTTTTGGGATGAATCACTGTGCTTTCATGATGTTCAATGTGTCACAATGAAAATACATCCTGCATATCAGATATTTACATGACGATTCATAACAGTAGCAACATGACAGTGATGAAGTAGCAACGAAAATGATTTTATGGTTGGGGGTCACCACAACATGAGGAACTGTATGAAAGGGTCGCGGCGTTAGGAAGGTTGAGAACCACTGCTCTACAGGGATGAGCCGTGGAGCTATGGGGTCAGCCTGTCCCACACTGAGGGCCTTGGGATCCGTCTCCCCCCCATTGCTTCCTGGGCAGTTTGGTTCTTGAGATCCTTTGAGTGTAGTTGTAGTATCTCCAGAGGGACTTCATTTATTTATTTTTTAAATCTTTATTGTTGAAAGTATTACATCTGTCCCCTTCCCCGCCCCCCCACCCATTGACCTCATCTAGCCCACCTCCCACCCCAGGCCCTCTCCCCCCCACTTTCTGTGTCCACGGGTGATGCACATATGCATACAAGTTCTTTGGTTGATCTCTTCCCGCCTTCCCTTTGAGATTCCACAGGCTGTTCATGCTTCTATGTCTCTGGATCTATTTTGTTCATCACTTTATTTTGTTCATTAGATTCCACATCATAGGGCCTTTAATAGCCTCCGCACAGCCATGGTTGTTTTTGCTTCCTCAATTTCATATTCCTGTGAAATCTTCTAGAGCAGGGGTCCTCAAACTTTTTAAACAGGGGGCCAGTTCACTGTCCCTCAGACCGTTGGAGGGCCGGACTATAGTTTAAAAAAAAACTGAACAAATTCCTATGCACACAGCACATATCTTATTTTGAAGTAAAAAAACAAAACGGGAACAAATACAATATTTGTATTTGCATGTGGCCCGCGGGCCGTAGTTGGAGGACCCCTGTTCTAGAGGAATTCGTCTAAAATGAAAATGTAACTGTTTATGCCTCTTCTGCTTAACACAGCCAGTCTTTGGTGAGCCTGGTGAACATTCTAGTCCTCTTCCATATCTTCTCACTCTCACTTCTTTTTCTTAAAAAATATTTTAAAAAAATATTTTTATTGAGAGATAGAGACATCAATGATGAGAGAGAAACATGGATCGCTGCCTCCCGCACCCTCCCTACTGGGGATCGAGCCCGCAACCTGGGCATGTGCCCTTGACCGGGAATCAAACCGTGACCTGGTTCATAGGTCGACACTCAACCACTGAGTCACGCCAGCCGGGCTCACTCTCACTTCTTTAAGATATTTGTTCCAGAACTGGTTTGGCTCAGTGGATAGCATGTTGGCCTGTGGACTCAAGGGTCCCAGGTTCGATTCTGGTCAAGGGCATGTACCTTGGTTTCGGGCACATCCCCAGTGGGGGGCGTGCAGGAGGCGGCTGATCGATGTTTCTCTCTCATCGATGTTTCTAACTCTCTATCCCTCTCCCTTCCTCTCTGTAGAAAATCAATAAAACATATTGTAAAAAAAAGATATTTGTAACTAGGGGTATTTTCAACAGTAAGGCCTCCGGAGCACGCATCATTCGCACCCATATTACAATCCATTATTTCTCCTCCATGTATGTCAGCCTCCAGCGCTGAGATGTGCTCATAAAACTGCACGCACAGGCTGTATCACAGGGCGCGCTCACGCGGCCCTTCTGGCTCCTGGTGCGTGTTACACATGACAGACCACGCTTCTGGGAACTGTAACAGGAACTGTTTACAAATGGTAAACACAGGGTCGTTTCCTTCCACGCCAGAAGAAGAGAGGGAACTCCTTTCTCTCCAAACTATCCATCTTGCAAGTGACACCCCTTAATTGCCAGCACCCCCTTCCCACCAAATACCATCGCAGACGACTGGGGAGATGAAAGCGGGCCGGCCCCCGAGGCGCGGCTCTCTGGGGAGACGGACGCTTTCCCATGTTCCCGCCTGTCTCCCGTGCACAGACCAGGCCGAGGCCTGGGCTCTGTCATCCTTTTATTGTCTCCGTCGGGGATTGTTGTAAGATGACATCACCGTAGCCTCGTGCTCCCTCCTCATTGTTAAAAGTCCATGGAAGTGACTTGTATTAGAAACCGAATTGGACTCTACAATTTTGCCTCCCTTTCTTTTTATTTGTTAATCCTCACCCGAGGATATTTTCCCATTGATTTTTAGGGAGAGTGGAAGCGAGAGGGAAAGACTGAGAGAAACATGACTTGAGAGAAACACGTCGATGGGTTGCCTCCTGCATGAGCCCTGACCAGGGACCAGGGCCCGGGCCAGGGAGGAGCCTGCAACCGAGGTACGCACTCTTGATCAGAATCGAACCTGGGACCCTTCGGTCTGCAGGCCCCGATGCTCTATCCACTGAGCCAAACCGGGTAGGACTTGCCTTCCTTTCTTTTCTGAGCTTTCAGTGGTAACATAGGACTCTCAGGAAACTAGTTCTTTGGCTTTTTCCGAAACGGAATGTACCAACTAAACTTTGAAGAGAGGGACATTTTTTCTTCTTTCTTATACAGTGGGGCCTTGACTTACGAGTTTAATTCGTTCC